CTTGATGCCCCAACCCCCCCCCCCCCCCCACACACACACACACAAAACGTTATTTGCCATAACACAGCCAAATGCTGGGTGTGGCCAAACCATGCTAACAGTGGGAGGGTCCTAAAGTGGCATTACTAAATAAGACCTGAGTGTAACAGTCACATACAACACTCATTACTCATTACATATACTTTTAGCCGACCTTAAAGAAGAACTCCATAAAATATTCAATGACTACTTAGCAACCAGCAACTGTTGAGACAATAAACCCTTTGGTCAGCACTATGGGTGGTCAGCAGCCGCCTGTAAAAATGCCCCCTCAAGCATTGGTGGCCATTGGCTGACTGTAAAAATATTCCCTGGCAATGATGGTCAGTGGCTGGCTGTAAAAATATACTCCCAGCATTGGTAGTCATTGGCTGGGTGTAAAAATACCCCCCAGCTTTGGTGGTGAGTGGCTGGCTGTAACCCCCCCTGCATTGGTAGTCAGTGGCGGACTGTAAAACCCACCCAGTATTGGTGGTCATCAGCTCACTGTAAAAATACTCCCTGGCATTGATGTTCAGTAGCTGGCTGGCCCTCTACATAATTAGTAATTATAAAACCAGTCTCTAGAAGCTATTATATCCTCATCATTGTTATACACTTGCTTAACACTACACACAGCTAGATTCAATGTTAAAGCAGAACTGCAGAATAGCCCAGGGTAAGCAGTTTTGTGGCATTGTGCAAATATGGACAGCATGCTTGCACATTATGGCAGACTCGTGTGTTTGACTTCCTCAAGCACTGCCAGTTCCCTTGCCGCTCAATCAACCGCCATACTTTTTTCCACCCCATCTTTTAAGCCCTTCGTCTTTGGCCATTGAGTGGCCACTGATGATGAAACACCTACACATGTGCAGATGCTGGGAATGTACACGGAACTGCAAATGTGTACACCAGAAAAAAATTCTTAGAGGATAGACGAACGGTTTCTTTGAAGAAAAGACATGCAAAGTCTCTTCAATCCAAAAACCTCTACTTTCTAGTGGAACATCTAGTATAGTTCCACTTTAAGATAATCTTTGACTCTTCCTCCCTGCTGCTTTCAATCTTTCATCACTAGGATAGATTTCCAGAATCCTCAGCATTCCTTGAACTGTAGGAAGCTCTCAGCCCCTCCTGTGCTGACATTTAACTCTTGGAAAAAAGGTTCATAAAACAAACTATCTAGAGGCTGTGCTGGATCATTTTTCATGGCTGTCCGGGAAAAAGCTTGTAGGCTTATTTATAGTCTAATAGCAAAAACATGCTCCCACTGGCGTGTGAATGATCCTGATCTGTTGCAGCAAAGCTGTTTACAGAGAAAGTGACCACATCACATTAGACACCCACCAAGTCAAAGTGTTGACTGAATGATCTAAAAATGTTAATTCAATACATTACTGATCTCTGTTTAAATTGCAACTTTGGCAGCAGACACTGCAGTCTACTGGGAATGTTTCTCAGCATGAACTGTACATAGTAGTTACACTCCAGGGGCAAGGTCTAATCTTTATTAAGGCAACATACAGGACCGTATTCCAGGATTGATTAAATGATGATACATCACCCATTTGATTTGTAGTTTTTAGGGAATTCCATGGACAAGATTACTATTATAAAATTACGAACTGTGCTTCTTTCCCCTCCTCCTCCCCGCAGTGAAGATTTGCTCATCCTGTTTCACTAATGCAAGTGAAACTTCTGCAGCTGGAGGAGAGAAATGAAACTTATAGTGTATGATAATGCAATACGGTTGTTGGCAGGAAGCACTGGGAACCATATTTCAGGAAATCCTATTCTGAGAAGCCAGTGGGCACACTGGTGTCTGCCCAATAATAAATGTCAGGTAACCTTTTAAGGCATCAGGCACATAGCCATTCTTTAATCTCAGCTTGTGTGTTGCTGAAGCCTTCAAAAAGCTTGTTTAGAAAATCCTGTCCCTATACTATTATAATCTTCCTATAGAATTATGTGTCAAATGATCTTGTTTTATGGGTTTAATCTCCCTGTAATTACTGATGATATATGATATTGAACAGGCTTTGGACTGCTGCTGGGCTTTGCCATCTATGATATGATAGCAGCAGTCCCATGTAGACTCAGAGCTGTCGAATGACACTCCTCTAGTATCATTTTTGCATGTTTGAAGCACTCTAAGCATTCTTTCATTAATCTGATGACAGGGGAATAAAGGCTGATAGTAGCAGCACATTGCTCCACTCTGCATTTATGACAGTCAGCTTCTGCTTTGTTTACATTGTTGTACACCAATGACTCCGACTGCCTTTTCTGTTTAATTAATTTATCTAATGATCAAGATGGATTTTATTTTTCTTGTTTCTTATCTGAAAAAAACAAAACAAATTCTAAATGCCAATGTGATTTTCATTTGGGGAAAATGGTACATATTGTATGCTAAGTGCAAAAGAAAACTGTTTAATATATCTGGAATTCCATTTAAGTAGCAGGTATGGATACAATTTTAAAGGGTAATTCCACTTGCTCAGGTGAATTTGGAAAATTGAATAACCCCCACCAATCTACACCCTCCTTCTCACCATCCCGCATACCCCCTTTCCATTGCTCTTACCTGTCAACAATCGCTTCTTCCCCACCACGGTTGCCCATATAATATCCGTACTCCATACTGCAGTATGTATTTAAAATTTTGCTTGCACATGGCAACCACTCATTGGTCACTCAATTGGTCACATCAGTGGCAAGCACTCATGAGAAGCACTTCTTAGCAAGAAGTGCTAAGAAGCACTTCTTGCTAAGAAGTGCTTCTCATTGGTCAGTGTGGTCAGGTGACTGTGCTGACATGTGTGTGCGCCATTTGGGAGCAATCATGGATTGGAAGGAGCGACTGTTGACAGGTAAGAGCAGCAGGAGGGAGATGGGGCAGATTGGTAGGGGAAATTCAATTTTCCCAAATTCGCCTGCGAAAGTGGAATTACCCTTTAAGAATTTTAAAAGAAAGCTTAAACGAAATTCTACTGGTGTATGGCCCACTTTAAAATAAACATTCATCATGTATAAGGTTTGCTAAAGAGGGTCAAATATCTCCAGGTAATAACAGGTGGAGGGATATCTGCTGGCCCTTGAGTTTTTTAGTGTGCTCATGCAGTACTTTACTTTTTTCATACAAGAGGGTCATACCTGATCAAAAGAAACTTTCCACCAAGCTGGAAACTCTCTTTGTTTGATAAGTATTTCTGACTACCATGAACCTAGGATATCACATATGATCCATTTGATCATAATTGTACGCAAACTTGCTATCATTGAGTCATTAGCTTTCAATACCAAATATGGTCAGTGATGCCCCCAATTTACATTACCACTGCAGCCAGGGATTATCATTTAGCAGTGCGAGTATGACACACCAACATTGCTGGGTCGTCATGGTGGTAGGGAAACATCATCGGATGGAGAGGAAACATTGACTGGCTTTGGGTCGTTGTGAGTGATGCTCGATTTACATTCGGACAACGTAATTGATGATGGATTTACATTGGGGGACTTTGTTTACATTTTTAAACATCTTTTTCTAGTGTGTGTGTGTTTACTTGTTATAGTTCTTTTGGAAAATGAGTAACAAGGGGTTCTAATGTACCTTCTACAGATTCTCCTAGGGTGGGAGCACAATATCTGGGGGTTCCCTTATTCTAAAGAGGGCCTCCACATTTCTATAAGTCTCCCCCACACGAATGTGGGGAAGAGCTCCCTTAATGTTGGGACAAGGTGCAAAGTGAAAAAGGCTTGGCCACCCCCCTTGCAAGGTATGCCCCCACACACACACACACACACACACACAGTTTTGAAAGATAGGTGGTCTTGTGTAGTTCAGGAGGGTGCATGCTCTCTCAAATCCTACTGAACCTCACCAGACCACATGTCTTTCAACATTGGAGGAAACCCCTTACACATTACCACAAAGTCCTTTTAATAAAATAATGTCCTTGCTGCCCAACAATGTTGTAATGTGATTTTTTTTTCTAGTTTTTTAAAATATAATTATATTTAAAAAACTAGAAAATGACTACGTAGTACTGTTCTGTAATGTCACACACAGCTTTAACTCACTCCCAAGCATGTTATTTATAAGATACATCTGATTTGAATGTTGACATTTAAGACACATAAAAAGACCCTCTTCCCACTGAAGGGCATTTTTTTACATCTGTACATGTCCATAGCAGTGCCCAGCTACCCATGCTCTACTTTAACAATATATTGCAGCATTTGCTTCCCGTAGACTTCAATAGGGTTTGACGCTATGCTTATTGATTATGGACTTTCGGCTATGTTGCTGAACCTACAGTGAAGCAAACTTTGCTTGGTGCGCTCATCCCTATGTGTAATTAACATCCACAGAGTTTGAGTTCAGTGGAAAATATCTTGAATCAAAAATTATTTGTTAATTAAAAACAATTATTTATTATGAATTATCACCCACTTTAATCAGAATGATGATTTGCTGAACCTCAAAGCAGCTCCACTACAAACCAAATTTGTTTTTGTATGATGTGGGCAAATCAACAACTTATACATTCTTGGCATAAAGCTGGAAGACTCCTTCTTACCTTGACAGAAAATACAAGGGCGAAAACACCAAGGCAGCAGAAGTTCAAATACATGGCATTGAAGAGCGACCAGATGATATGATCTCGGACAGGGGGACCCTCTGGCGTAATTGTCACCACAGTGGTTTGGACTTGTTGGCTCGGGATATTCCGAAACTCTGTCTCTTTTTTCAGCTGCTCATAGCCACGCTCATTGTATGTTGGTGGAGAGCCGAGTTCACGGGCATAATCGCTGGCTTCCATGACTCCTGGGTAGCAGAGGAAGGATTAGAGGAATTTCTGCAGAGCTCTGCTGAGAATCTGTTTGTGGTACACTGGAAGAGAACAGGAGAATGTTAGCTGGTGGGAGGGACAGGAGGAGTCTGATGGGGAAGTTTCATTTCTCTACTACATGTTCCCAACACAAGAAAAAAAAGAAAGTAATTAGAGTTACAAAATGAATAGTATGGAAGTATGGAGAAATGAATAAACAGAAACATTAAAACATGTCTAACTGGATGAAGACATAAGTACTAGATTTGTGGAATTCTCTAAATGTAAAGAGATCAGCTGTGTACAGTGATCTGCCCTAGCCTGGATCTAGGATGGCATTGCCGTAGGTACAGCCTAAGGTCACAAACCCATAATGTTGTAATCATATACAATAAGCAGCAGTCAGCACATATATTCCTAAATAGTAATATAATTTGATGACCTTGAAACTTTCTCCTCCCTGACCCTAAAGTGGTTATGCAATTTACAACTATAAAGTGTTATCTAGCTTAAAAGCCAAAACCTTTTTTTAGAACCACTATCAGTGTTCCTGAGGGGCAGAAGCAGATAGATATCGCTGGCACATCATAATCCATGGTCAAAGATCAAGGACAGGACATTTATTTGCCACTCATAAGAAGCAACATTTCAAAGCTGATAAGGACTTCTTCCTCACCCAGTTGTCAGAATAATAAAGAACCTTTTTTTTCTTCACACAAAATGACAATCTGGCTGCTGTGAGCCCATACTGTTACAGCAAGGAAGCTGGGTATCCATTTATTTAATCCATCCCTGTAAATGACTGGCTCTTGTAATGAGACCAGGGAAAAGGCTATGCACTGCAATATAAATGGTTCCTAATTTCTAGTGGCGAACCAGCAATGTTTGCGGACAAAAATTTGTGATTCACATAGCTATAGTAGCAGTGAGCCCAAACCTCAGCCCTACGGATAATTTTATTTTAACATAGTGGCAGAATTTGAAAAAGGAAAAAAAGACCCGTCACTGTACTAATTAATCAGTTTTGTGCAATTAGACAATACTGAAATATGAGAAAACGCTTGGTGAGTGTGTATATGAGTTTTTCCCGCAGGAAGCAACTTCAAAGTGTATTTCCACTTTTGCATTCAAATTTGAGAAAACTCTTCTATATGTTTATGTGTTCTTATTCACACAGCACTTTTTTTGTATATTTCTTATCTTTAGGATGTCTCTGTGTAGCAGGCATTTGCAAGCTTCTCTCTCAATTTCCAAGTGACAGAAAATGTTGTCTGCCTCCATAGAAAGACTAGGGACAGACTGAGCTTTCCATCATTTAAGTGATACTAAACTCGGGCGTTAAATCTTTTAGAATGCATTCAAGTTCCTTACCATTAACAAAATGGAGCTTATTTGTATATCACTCGGCTGTAGATCTCAAAATCATCTCTGAATTGTTGCTGACACTGTCCTTTCTTCTGGAGGGTGGCTACTTTTGTTCCCCATGGTCCCTGTGTGTATTGTAAAGTAGCCACTGCTCCAAGCTCACTCCCCTGAACTACAATCTCACGTTTAGTTTACTCATTTGTATTGAGATTGTAGCCGGTCAAAGTTTAGTGTCACTTTAACATACAATGCTTCTAGATATTGAGGGGTGTCCCCAGATGTGGTGTCACCCGGAGCTGTCGCGCGTTTACCTGCTGGCGGCCATCTAGATGATGGACACCAGCAAAGAGAGGATGGGACGTTCACCCGGCGGGATACGGTTTGCCGCCAGGTCCCCTCCTCTCTCGTGCAACTGTCGAGCTCTCGGTCAATGACCGAGTGCTCGACTTTACAGAGTAGGTGACACCAAAATGACTGTCATTCATTTTGGTGTCACCCCTACTGATGGCATCACCCGGTGTGGGCTGCACCCCCCTTGTGAGGTGTGGGCTGCACCCCCCTTGTGACACCACTGTAGATATGTAACCCTTTGTTAGGACAGACAGTGTTCATATCAAGTTTACAACTGATAATGAGATGTGCCAGCACAGTACAGACAGGCATAATTATGTTAAAATTAACCTCCCTACCTCCTTGCATTCCAGAGTGAAATTTAGTATAGGGAAAAAATGAGAACATGTAACAAATATAAAATAGGTGTTATCCCAGTTTGGCTGCAAAAGTGGAAATGCACTTTAAGTTACCTTTTGTCTTTCTGAGGCATGGACTCTGTGACGTACGCCGGGGCCAGATCCGCTGTACGTCAATCACGCGTGACTATGCACAAGTCTAAACCGAGCGTGGGTGTCACAAGGACCTAGTGATACCACTCTCAGCCTCACCCTGCACAGAGATTTCCCAGCTCGCGGGACACGATATCAGGCCAGCAGACTGAGAGCGATCATCACCAGGGTTGGTTAACTCCGCAGTCAACCCTTTACCCACAAATATTCGCTGCCACCATGTGTTTTTTAACGGAAACACAGACCTTGCCCAGCAACTGCTGTGACAATTTAAAACACTTAAACAACGCCTATGATACCGCTGTCCTTTCAGACAGGAATATTACAGAATTCACTATACAGTAGCGCTCTTCACAGAGGCAAGGATACTTTAAGTTCGTATTTAGAGCATAGAGATAAGCTTAATGATTTTTAAGATCGTCCTTTAATAAAAGAAACGGTGCAGAAAATATACAGAAAAAGATATTCATAAAAAGAGACAAAATATATATACAACAGTAAAATAAAAGGGAATAAAAGGTGAATACTCAACAGTCCTGGAATTAGAAGTTCTGACAGAGTTCAGAGTTGTATAAGCAAAAGCGAAGTCTGAAGGGCTCTTCTTCAAGCAAGCTTTCAGCAGATGATGTCCAGAGATTAAAGGGGAACTCTTCTGCGATGTTAAGACTTCTTAGTTTCTTCCTTGATGTTTTAAAACCGAAAGCCATCCTCTAGCTAGTTCAGCATCTTTTTGTCAGACCTTCAGGAGCCGGCCCCTAGGGCAGGGCTGGGGATAGAAAGCAGAGATAGACATTGTCCCATAAAATTTGATACTGGTCTCCCTCAGCAGGGGGTTGTTCAGCCAGACTTCTGAGTTGTTCCAGTTTTTTGTCAGTCTGCAGTCAGTCTGCAGTGCTGTCTCAAAGGTGGCACTACAAGTCCCAGCCATCTGTCCTGGGCAAACAGAGACAACGGTTGGGGACCGCCGGAGGCCGAGCCCATTGGGTCAGAACAGCGAGAAGAGTTGGGAGCCCCCTCCCTCTGCTCTGAGGCCAGCGTCTGGTAGAGTTTCACTCCTTTGGGAGTAAGGCATTGGCCTCCTATACATTTAGGATATGTATTTGTACATACTTTGATACATACCCATAGTATTTAAAGAGAACTATGGGGTAATTGTTTTCCCCCATAGTTCTCTTTAGTGTCACGGGAGGACATATACCAACCTCCTCCCGTGACCCAAAGCTCAATATATTGCAGGCTATTGTCTGCGATATACTGAGAGTGCCGCAGCTAGGACGGATCCCAACAATACTGTCGAGATCCACCCAGCTGCGTGAGTGACAGCTGGCTCTGCCTATCTAGATACAAATACAATATTCGGTTTTTCCTGTCAGCTCCATGTCAGCACACTAATGGGAAATCATCTCCTTCATCTGGGTCGTGACCAGAATCAACTGAGAGAGGCCCTCCGATTCCCACCGCATCAAAAATTCCATCTGAAAGGGGCGAGATCTCCATTGAGCCCATTTGACCATAGGAATGGTGGACACCATGGTGCCCACTACTTGCAGGCATTGAGTGGCCGAGAGAAAAAACGGACGACAGGACCGGGGAGAATCGACAGAATGACTGGAATTTTTTCTTCAGGAAGGTCAGCTGAGTTAAAAATAGTATCTATCCTGGCACCCAGGTACAATAGGTCCTGTGTGAGGGTAAGATGGCTCTACTCTTGATTGATCAGTCACCTGAACTTATCCAGAGTGGAAATCACCAGTGTGAGATGTGTTAGCAGTTTTGCTCGACTTTGGTGCAAGAGAAGAATATCGTCGAGATAATGGTAGATGCGCACACCCTTCTCTTGCAGTAAGGTGATTTTGGCCAGAAGGACTTTGGTAAAATCTCTCGGAGAGGCTGTCATCCCGAAAAGAAGACAGATGAACTGATAATGAAGACGTCCTGGAGCAAAACGGATACATTTTTTAAAAGAATGCGGGACTCGGATGTGCAAATAGGCATCTCTTAAATCGATTGAAAGCATCCAATCTGCCGGCTGGACAATCTTTAGAATAGTCTGTAGAGATTCAATTTTGATTCTTCTTCTTTATGTAATGATTGAGGCGCTTTAAATCTATCACCGGTCTCCAGTCTTCTTTTGTACCAGTAAAAGGCGTGAATAAATGCCCGGAAAAAGCTCTTGAAAAGGGACCACCACCACTGCCCCTTGGTTCACTAGATTCTCGACATAGGAAAAAAGGACTTCTCTGTGTATTGGGTACAAAGGGATTTTCGTCTGAAGAAAAAAGGAACAAGGGGTTTTGCGAAACTCCCATAGGTGACCCATCAAAACTGTGTTCAGGACTCATCGGTCCTCTACATCGTCTCTCCAGACCTGCCGAAAATCAGCCAACCTCACACCGACCCGGGAAGACTGGAAGGGAAAGCTTTCAAAAGGACTTCTGAGGGCCTGGCCCTGAAACAGGTCCTTTCTTTTTGGAATTTGCTAAAGATTCGTTGGGCCTCCAAGGACTGCCATGCTCTCTACCATGCTTCCTCCCCTCTATCCGATGCCGCCTTCCTAGAGAAGGCATTCCTCTGCTTTAGCAGTCTCCGGTCCTGAGGTATAAACCCAGATTTGCCTCCCATAGCCTTAGCAATTGTGGCATCTAATTTTTATTCCCAAATAGAGACTGGCCCTCGAAAGGGATTTTACACCACCCCTGCCTGGAAGTGGGATCCGCTATCCACGGTCTGAGCCAGAGGGCTCTTCTTCCTGTAACTGCAGACAACATAATTCTGGCCAAAGATCTAATCATATCCATGGAAACCTCAGCAAAAAAGACTGAAGAGAGTCTGATGTTTTTCAGCAGATCTAAGATCTTGGATTTACCGACATCGTTCCATACCGCAGCTTCAGTGCTGTCCACCCAGGCTTCAAGGGCTTCTAGACATCGCAGCTAAGGCGACAGCAGGTTTGCAAGCACCCCCTGCTAATAAATAAATCTTTTTATGGTCCAGATCAGTTCAGATCGGTCAAGCACATCTTTAAAGGTGATGGCATCATCGAGCGGTAAGATGACGTGTCTAGCAAGTCTCATTAGCGCAGCGTCTACGACCTGTGATTCTTCCAAATGTTTCACCTCCTCCTTTTTGAAGGGATACAGTTTGGAACAATGGTTGCGAAAGGAAGATTTCCTTTCCACCTGACTCCATTCATCCGAAATTATATCTTTAATTTCATCCATAAAAGGGAAGGAAAGCATTTCCTTTCTAACATGCTTAAAGTATCGCCTCTTTTTCTCAGGCTGTTCTACAGTGTCCTCCCACAGTAGAACCTGCCTGACCGCCTTAACAAAAGGCTGCACAAGAGAGAAATCAAAGCCATCAAATTGATCACCTTCCTCTTCCGATGATGAACCTGATTGGTCCTCCAGGGGGTCATCCCTCCGGGTGGCAGCAATGGCTCCTGAGGGTCCTGGTCTAGGTTCTGTCCCCTGAACTGTGCCTGGCATAGTCTGAGAGTGAGGAGTAACATTAGTAGAGAATTCCCTCAGGATATCCTGAAAAACGTTTTAAATTATTGATAAAACCTGATGGTTATCAGCATCTCTATCGCTCTATTAAAAAAGGGGAGTTGCAGTTTACTATCTTTGTCTATGATGGTCTCTAGGTATATCTCTTTAAGTTATAAAAAAACAAGCAAAATATCCATAGAATAAGTGGCATGAGTACCTGCAGGCAAGGAGTGACGCTGGTGGCCGATTCAGCAGAAGAGCACAGAGAGCACTGTGCCGACATCAGACAGGAGAGGAGCGGGCGCATGTGACAGCAGTAGGATTTTAAAACGGCTGCTCATCCCGTAGCTCTGCCCCCAACATGACCACGATTATTGGGCCCGTTTGTGCATGCGCAGTAGCGAGCCGGAGCTCCCGTGTTCCAGCGGCCGGAAAGACACTCGTGGAACGCAGAGTGGGCATTCCAGCACGGCTGCCGGCGACACACTGCCATAGAATGAGAAGATGTCAGGAGCAGCCATTACAGGAGTACAGTCCATTGGCACAGCCCCAGCGACCATCAGCAAGGCTCCCCCAATCTTCCACATTTAGTAAAGAATCCAGGGGACTTTACCTAATGCAGACAAAGCAAGGTGAACTACAGGGTAAGCTGCAATCCTGATCCTGAAGCAGGACGGAAAAAAGCAGGACGGAAAAAAAGGAACAGTGGGATGGGACAGCTGGGTAAAATGTATTAGTTACGATCCTGATAGATGGGAGGAGAGAAAGGGATTAACCTATTAATGTGCTGACATGGAGCTGACAGGAAAGTGCTGTGTTTATAGTTCAGGAATGTATTCTATTAGAATAGGAAAAGTCAGTTATTTGGATAGAAGTAGGGCTTTACTTAAATGCTTACTGTAGTAATGGTTTATTGTCAGAGTACTTGTCACAAGATGGCTCATGGCCCAGTGACAGCCTCTAGTTTGATACTGTACAATGACTAATGTAACTTTCCTGGTTTCCAGTGGTGTATTTAGGTTTGGGGCTGCCCTAGGCCCGAATCGAAATTTGGGCGAAATTTCAGATAATAACGAATGCAAACAAATCCGAATTTCTGATTGCGAAATTCGTTAGCGGTAGTCTGTACCAAATTTCGTTTGTTGGATGAAATTTAGTTGCAGCAAAGTGACATTGAAGAAAAAAATAAACATTTCTCCTCAAATGCCACTTTTGCTGCAACGAACGAACCGTCAACAAAACATCAATTCGTACAGACTACCGCTAGCGAATTTTGTTCGAATCCGAAGCCCGAAACGAATTGACTTTCGGACTCGAATCCCAAAAAATTAAATAACACAAAATCTGAATCAAAACGAAACTAAACAAATTTTTTGCTGATGCACATGTCTACCCCCCTGCCCCCACTAAATTTGCCCCACCCCTTCCTGTTTTTGACTTTTTATGTAACCTGTCAGTCGCTGGATACAGTGCACACATTGTATTCAGCTTTTGACATGTTCCGCTATTAGCAAAGCAGGAAAGCTGGGGTCTCAAGTGGGCTCTGCGGAGTCTCAGGGGGGCTTTGCAGGATCTGTGCTGGGCTTCACAGGGTCTCAGGGGGGCTGTGCAGGATCTGTGTTGGGCTCTGCGGGGTCTCAAGGGTGTTGTGCAGGATCTGTGGTGGGTTCTGGGGGGGTCTAAGGTGGGCAAGCAGAGCCCACCACAGATTCTGCACAGTCCCCCTAATACCCTGCAGAACCCACCATAGACCCCCACAAAGCCCACCACAGATCTTGCAAAGCCCACCTGAGACCCTGTGGAGCCCACCACAGATCCTGCAGAGCCCACTACAGATCCTGCACAGCCCCCCCTGAGACCCAGCAGAGCCCACCACAGATCCTGCGGAGCCCACCACAGATCCTGCACAGCCCCCTGCACAGCCTTGTTTGTCTCGCAGCAGATACGCCCCTGGCCCCCTGGGGAATTGATCGAAACTGACTTTAATGCTAACCTTGTGTTACAGTCCCCACAGAGTAAGCTTTACTTTTCAGGTGATATGAGAAACTTTGCCCTAAATCAAAGGCTACTAATGAAGCTCAAGGTAATAACGCTTAAGGAAACCAGAGCAGACAAAATCCGGAGCAGTTGCCTATAGTAAATAATCAGGTTCTCTCTTCAGTTTTTTAAGTTTTAAAGGTAATAGAAACTAAAGTAGCCTTTAATTTAGGGCATATTTTCTCATATCACCTGAATAGTAAATCACTTAGATTTTGTTGAAATGTACTTACTCTGTGGGGACTTTAACTCATGGTTACAAATGGTCACAGGAATGGGAATAATTCTAGTACTATCATGTACATGTGGTAAGCGTTCAAGCTGTGTGGATCCCTGTGCCACTTCAACTCAGTCACTGCGCTATGTGGCAGAGAAGAAGGGAAGAAGGAGATAGGTGAGGGTATGGGGCTGGAGCATTATGGAGGACTTCCTGTTTGTCAAAGTTTGAGCCCTGAAGCAGCACAGTGCAGCTTTATATTGCGATGACACCCATGACCCCAATTACAACCACTGAACCAATGTCCACTTCAACCACAGGCACTGCACCAACATGCACTTTTGTACCGCTGCCACTGCACCAATGCAAACTATTGCGCAATGTTTCTTTTTACACCTCCACTCCACACTGCATTGATGTGCCCTTTTGCATCCACCACCACAGCACTGACATGACCTTTGCTTGAATCCAATGTCACTCTACACCGATGCAAACTTCAGCACCTGCCACCAGTGAGTTCACACACTTTTTTACACAATGTTCCCTACTGCAACTGCAGGTCCTGCACTGAAGTGACATGCTGCACCCACTGCCTTTACACCTGCCAGCAATACACCAACTCGCCCCTCCACACCACTGCACTTAAAGGCATGTCTGTACCTGCTGCCACTACACCAACACATCTAAGTCCTTCAGTAATGCACCAATTGTCACTTCTACACCCACCGCTGTGATCCACTTACCTGCATCTGCCGCCCGTTGATGGACCTGGCCTCCTTCACTGCCGGACCGCCCCAAGCTTCCTCCACCACCCGTCTTGCACTTGCAGGTCCCGGGCCTTCTGAGCCTGACTGACGCTTCGGGACCAGCGTCCTCTGTCACCCGACAGATATCTGGAACCGCCCCCTGACGGGGATCCGCCCCAACTGCCGGACCGCCCCAAGCTTCCTCCACCGCCCGTCTTGCACATGCAGGTCCTGGGCCTTCTGTGCCCGACTGACGCTTCGGGACCAGCGTCCTCTTTCACCCGACAGGTATCTGTATCTGCCCCCTGATGGGGATCCGCCCCCCCCTCCTGCTGCTGCTCCTCCTCTGCTCCACCTCCTCTCCTCGCCTCCACCTCTGGCTCCTTGTCCCGCTAGATTAGGCAACCGAGGCTGCCAAATTCTGTGCAGCCTGGCTTGCCTGACTGTTTTGGGGGCGGCGTTTTTGCCACTCCCTCTAAAGTGCCGCCCAAGGCAAACTCCTTGACATCCATTTTCTGGATGAGAGTTTACATTTTCTTGCAAATGCTCCAGACTCTGTGCTCATCCCTGCTCATCTGCAGCTCAAATACCTATTCAATTATGCTACAAATGGATCTACTCTGAATTATTGAGTTTGACTGGTGAGTCTGGAGTCTATGTCTGTACTACCCTGGATGTCTAGGATCAATATAACCTCTCTCCCCATTGTGAAGATGGTAATAAAAGTTCTTCAGCATTCTACTTTTGGCCTGGATATCAGTTCTGTGAGCACAAGAAGAGGACGGTTAATGCTAATGGAGCAGCTGAAGACTAAAACCCCTAGGCAGACTAGTGATGACCCGGGTTACTCAGTCGGCTCCTTCGTGGGTGAGCATGTCATAAGGTTTGACATGTTTGGTATGTGTTTATTGGTCACAACCCAATCGTTTATATTTTACCAAAAAATGGATATTATATTTTGTTTGTGTACTAGAATTCATTTTAGCATATTTTTCCCTAAAAATATCAATTTGATAACATTTGCGAAAATATTGTGCAACATAACTAGCATCCTACAGGGCCTCTGCTTTCAGAAAATATATAATTTTTTGGAATTTTTAAGTAGTTTTCAGATTAAACGTGAGTGCAAAAAAAATGTAAAAAATTGTTCCAGATGCAAAGTGATTAAAGAAAAACAAAGTTAGAGTATTACTAACTCTAACCCAATGTTTTCTTAGTTTTGGATACAGTGGGGAACAGTTAACATTTCTGTGAGGTTTTTATTTCCGTCTGTGATCCCACTGGAGAGATGCCCCCTTCTCTTGCTCTCCCTGTGATACCTATATGAGTAATGATGGGGTATGGGTGTTGCCAACATAAGGAGGCACAAACAACAATAAATACATTGTCAGAACTTCTGATTTTGTTTTTTGTTTGTCTCCCCATTGGAGAGCTTTCCCACAACTTCTTGTCCTGGCAGGTACATAGATGGCAATAAAAACCTAATAGAAGCTCCAATCTTCCACCCTCTATACAAAATTAAATAAAAATCTTTAGAGTTGTACCTTAATTAGCAATGCAGTGAAGCAATCTGAAAACAATGCAACTATAACTTGGTCCATAGAAACTTTTTATTTTAGGAGGGCATTTTAGACGACATTGCTGACCATTCATCCCCCACCATTGATGGTACTATGGGAAGACATTACTATATAAAGTGCTATACTTTTATATTGTTCCATGCTTGGCTGGAGGGCTTGGCTATAACCACAGCTATATCAGGCATACCTTGATGTTTCATAAGTGACATCGCAAACATGGCGACCTGAAAAAGGCGCGGGAGAGGTCTGAAAACAAGGATAGTCGGGCCAGGAGCTGAATAAGTTGCTTCCTTGTATACTCTGAGTGTTACGTTGATCACAATCATTGCATTCCAATAATACAATCTCCTTTAAATTCAGAGAACCTTGGGACATTAGACAATTTTTAAACTCAACATTCATTAGGGATACTGAACTCAGGAATTAAATCTTAAAAATGCTTTCAAGTAACCTACTAACAAGAATGTATCCTATTTGTGTATCACTCGGCATTAAATCCTCAAATCATCTCTGAATTGGTGCTGACACTGTCCTTCCTTCTGGAGGGGGGCAACTTTTGTTTCCCATGGTCCCTGCATGTGCTGTAAAGTAGTCACCGCTCCAAGCTCACTCCTGTGATGGACTGCAATTTCACAATTAGTTTATTAATTTGTATTGAGATTGTAGTCCATCACAGGAGTAAGCTTGGAGCAGTTTACAACACACACAGGGACTATGGGGAACAAAAGTAGCCACCCTCCAGAAGGAAGGACAGTGTCAGCACCAATTCAGAGATGATTTGATTTACAGCTGAGTGATACACAAATAAGATACATTTTTGTTAATAGTTAGGCTACTTGGACGCATTTTTAAGATTTAACTTCTGAGTATAATGTCACTTTAATACCTAAGAATAGTGTTAGCAGTATTTACTATGCTTGCCCAGGGGCTTTATTGTAGAAAAATGCTAAATTGTGCACTTGGGGGCTATAAATATGCTTGCAACATCAAATCTAAGGGTGGTAAAATTAGGTGAATAATGCTGGAGAAAGATCTAGGTGTATTTGTAGATCATAGACTTAGTAGCAGTTTTATGTCAGCCTGCAGCCTATAAACCTAGAAGGATATTCTCCTACATTTAAAGTGGTTTAGTGAATTTTACCCATGCTTAAACAAAGCATCTCTAGTGCTTTAAAGAAAAAAATCAATTCAGGGTACCATTTAAAAATAATATTCTCCAGAGAAGAAAAATGTGGAGAAAAGGAACTAGATGATGACAGTGGACCCATCATCATACATATTTTTTAATGTGTGGCACCTACTAAGTAATTAGTAAGTGTAACACTTTTACTCACTGTCTCTTCCTGACAATGTATTTATCTGATCTCCTCTTCAGAAATAGTGTCAATTTTGTTCCGGCATCATCCACGGTCAGCATCTACTTTCTGGGAATGTCATGCTGGCTCAGAGATGACATAGTGATGTAAATAAAAAAAAGTCTAACCCAGATCAGTACCATTGCAGCCTCTCATCTTGTGATTTGCTACAAAGTTAGAATGTTGCACTTTGATCACTGGGGAAGAGGAGACTGAGAAAAAGCTTCACCCTGCCTGCAGCAGACTAATGACATTATCCCAGTCTTTCACTAAATTGACAAGAGCACAAGCACACCTTTCAAATGACAAAGGTAAATTGTTTTTAATAATTATTCCATTGCTGTACATTGTTACATGTCAGGAATGTGAAAATTTGCTGAAGGGTTCACTTTAACCAGTTGACATCCGTGGTGTTAAACCGCCTTTCCCATCCAGGCCATTTTTCAGTATTCAGCGCTGCGGTACTTTGACTGACATTTATTCCGTCATGCAACGCTTTACTGAAATACATTTTATACCATTTTTTGTGGACAGATAGAGCTTTCTTTTGGTGGTATTTATTCACCACTGGGGTTTCTATTTTTTACTATATTAAGGAAAAATTACCAAAATGTTACAAAAAAAAACTGTTTCCCTTTATATAAAATTATAAAACATTTATTATTAGCCAATTTTTTTGTGAAATATAAAAGACGGGGTCACGTTGGGTAAAAAGACACCAAACATGTCAAGCCTTAAAATTGCGTGCGCGCGCAACCTCAAAAAACAATAAAACCCAAAATTGGCCACAGGCGACACTTTAAAAGCTTTTACCGCTCATCAGTTTATTGTTATCAGTGATTGATGGCTCTAAAATGATTGCTCTCACTGCGACGTTCGCGGCGATATGTAACGTGTGTAGCGCAATTGACGTTTTCGCGCGCTGGTGCACTGGACGCATATTTACGTTTATATGTGCGTAAACGTGGGGGTGGGGGAGTTAAACATTTTTTTGGGGGGGGTTTACTTTTTTATATGTGACTTTTTATTTTTTTTACTTTTTTATATGTGACTTATTTTTTTTTTAATTTATATATTTTTTGCAATTGGCGTTTTCGCTCCCTGGTGCCCTGAACGAATATTTACGTTTATATGTGCGTAAACGTGGGGGTGGGGGAGTTAAACATTTTTTTGGGGGGGGTTTACTTTTTTATATGTGACTTTTTATTTTTTTTACTTTTTTATATGTGACTTATTTTTTTTTTAATTTATATATTTTTTTGCACTTATTGCTATTGCTATTATATAGGGGGATAGCAATCTCCCTATATAATAGCAAAAGCACACTGACAGGTCCTCTTTATGGAGACATTAGGGGTCTCTAGGACCCCTAATGTCACCTGTGGACCCCAAAAGAAGCTGATGAAGCAGAGATCTGCTTCATCAGCTTCTTTTCTCTGGCTATAGCAGCCAGATGACTGACAGGTGAATGCGGAAGTGATGTAATACACATCACTTCTGCATTCACAGCCCGGAGGTAGGTCAGCAAGGAGCTGATCTCCCTTCCTCTTCCTCCTGACGCACTCCCGAGCCGGTCCTGGGCCGCAGATGGGGCAGTGGATCCCGGGAGTGAAGGTGAGGGGTCAGGAGGGGGGGCTGAAAAAGCGGCGGCGGAAGCCGGAAAAACGGAGGGGGGGCAAAAAACGAGCACATATAGACGATCGGCAGGCTATAGAGCCACCGATCGTCTATATGTGAAACACAGGTTTTTTCTGCCCGGTCGCGCCCACTAGGGGGCACACGTGAGCAGAAAAAAATGCCGCTTGGAGACGGCAACCCGCCAATGCAGCAGTGCCGTCCATCCGTTTTTTTACAACAGGCGGACGGCAACTGGTTAAAGGGCATGGAAGACCATTAATGACATTTTGGGATATAATCATAATGTTTATTTTTTAAGCATGCCATTATTGAGAATATTGCAAAACAACAATGACAAAAATAAAACAATTCTAACAAAGTGTTGTCAGAGAAAACACAGTTGTTCACAAATGATACAATGGGGTATAAAGTTAAAAAAAAAATGCAAATAGCAGTGGTATGCAGTCTAATATACCAACCAAACAGAGCAAACTGATTGGTTTTCATGAGTCACATGAATAATCAACATTACAGAGTGGCAGTTGTGCCTAAAATGCAATAGCATTTGTATCAAAAATATCAAAACAAAATCTAAAGAAAAGTATCATGCATTTGTGAAAGAAAATAGCACTTTAGGTACAAGAAGTTTAATAACAATATTGTAATTAAGTCAATAAAAATTCAGTCATTTATGTATGGAAAAGGTGATGACCAACAGCCATTAAACTTTGTTTAACCAGAAAGATAAAATAATGATCAAGACATTTCATAAGAAGCTCTGGATTTTTTCTATGACACTGAACTTCCAAATTTTTCAGTTTTCAATGAACAATCACACCAACTCTTACTTTTGAACACACCTTAATGTATATCCATAGCTAAAACATTTTAGTTTTAAATAGACTGGGGAAGTGCTATAACTCCTGTTAGGCTTTACTGCAATTGGAGAGATTTTTTTTACTTCCTATCTGGTTTTTCCCATGGCAGGAAGTAAGGTTACATTTCTTTAACAGCAATACAAAAGTAAATTATTATTTTTTTTAAGACGGGGAAGACTAGGACCTCTGTCATCTATTTATTGCTGTCTGTTTCCCTGTTGCAAAATTTCCCTTACTTTCTTATTAAAACTTTGTCCCCAGAATATAAAATAAAGGTAAATCTTTCCAACAGAGCCCCAGATAGCAGTACAACAGAGGTTCTAACCCTTCCCTATATAATCCAAAACTTAAAAGAATGCTTAAAGGAGAACTATGGGGTCAGTGTTTTTCCCCATAGTTCTCCTTAGGGTAACGGGAGGACACAAACTGGTGTCCTCCCGTTACCCTAAGCTCAGTATACCGCGAGCTACAGCTCGCGGTATACTGAGACGCGGCAGCCAGAGCGCATCCCGACGTAGATGACGGGATCCGCCCAGCTGCGTGAGTGACAGCTGGCTCTGCCTATCTAGAGGCAGAGCCAGCTGTACCCCTCCCCCGTCCGTTCCACCAGTCAACGCTGGCAGATCGGAGCGGGGAGAGGGGAATCCAGCCCCTCCCCCTGTCACGGCAGAGAGCCGTGACAAGATCGGAAGGTGAGCGAACCTGGTATATGTTCGCTCACTGTCACAGGTCGGCTCACCTACTGAGCCGACCTGTGACAGTTTCATTGTCACAGGTCGGCTAGAACTATGAGGTGAGTGGAAATCACTCATCTCATAGTTCTCCTTTAAACGTATAAAATGTCCCGCCTAAGAACAGATGTTACAAGATAGCTACTGTTACATTTTCTAGGCAGAAACACCCTTCTCTGATTTTATTGTTCACCAACTGCCAATTTGCTGCCCAATTAGAATAGTGGTCATGGGGGCGGTCTTATTACACACTGTAATGGGTTTAGTAAGGCCTTGTTCACACCAAGCGCGGAGCAGATCCAGACCAGAGCAGGTGCAGACCTGATCAAAACTGCGTCCAATGTATTCCTATGGTATTTTGACCTCCAGTTCACATCGCAGCGTGTGGATCCAGACCAGATCCAGAGCAGGTGAAAAAACTGCGGCAAGCCCTATTTTACCTGCTCTGGAACGCATCAAAAGCGCATCTAAAACGCATGCAAGTGCCTGAAAGCCCATGTTAAACTTAAAAAAAAACGGCCCTAAAAGCATCCAAAACGCGGCACAACCCACTGCACTGCGTGTGCAGAAACCTGACCGGATCTGGTCTGCATTTGGCGTGAACAAGGCCTAAGGGCTTGTTCACACCAAATGCAGACCAGATCCGGTCAGGTTTCTGCACACGCACGATGCGTTTTTGACGCGTTTTTGATGCGTTTTTTCCAGGAAGCTAACAAGGTTATTTGGTCATTCCCTTTTACCTTTGACCTTTCATTAGCTGTTCCGATTATTTCCTGCTTCCTCTGACCTTGTTTCACATGTAAAATTGTTGCAACATGGATCCATGGGATGCAGGCATGCTCCTGGTGATGGTTATTATACTGCTACGCCAAAGTGCTGTAAGGAGACGTCGCTTTTGGGTGCACCCACTGATGAGAGAAAAAGATCCAAAGGGCTAGTTTGGGACTCTATATGCAGACCTTCGTGCACACCCAGACAAGTTTTTTTCATACACCCTCATGTCGATATCTAGGTAGGAATGTTTGCATGTGATGTGTCCCTTCCAAAGACAGGAAGTGACAAAGGAAGATTAGGTCATGACAGATGACCATAGAGGTTTTTTTTCTTTATGGTTATTTTTTCCCATTGAATTGCATTGGGTTGTATTGCGTTGCGTTTTTGATGCGTTTTTGATGCGTTTTAGATGCGTTTTTGATGCGTTCCAGACCAGATCCAGAGCAGGTAAAATAGGGCTTGCCGCAGTTTTTTCATCCGGTCTGGATCTGGTCTGGATCCGCACGCTGCGATGTGAACTGGAGGTCAAAATACCATAGGAATACATTGGACACAGTTTTGATCCGGTCTGGATCTGCTCTGGTCTGGATCTGCTCCGCGCTTGGTGTGAACAAGCCCTTAGGCTATGCCATAAAGTCAGCCCTCATGTGAAAATGTGAAACTGCTTCTGAGAGAGGCACAAAAGAAGCCTTTTTGTTATTAAAGGTAATAGGAAGACATCTTGTGGTGGCTCACTTTAAAGAAATAGAACAGTGTGGGCTGCTGGATTGGATTGACTTTAATGAGACGGGTAACTATAGGATATTTATTTGCTCCTATATAACTGGTTTGAAGGCCCACATTAGGTGCTTTCAGGACAGGTGTTTTAGAGAGACATCAAAGCTGTACAAGTCTAGTGCTGATCTCTCAAGGTGGATGCTCACGTCAACGAAGCTACATAAGGGTCCACTCACATAAGGCAGTGAATTGTATCTCTAGATGGAGGACACTGCAATGATCCTTTACCACACTTAACCCAGCAACTTTGACAATCATCATACAGATATCATCAATACCTTCATAATAGACCCAAACAAGATAAGGACGGGGTGTTACCTATTCACTCTTTTACACATTTGTCACCTTTTTCTTGATAAAAGTGAATTACATTTTACACCCTTTTACGATTTCGGAGCTTTGCAATCAGTGTAATAACAGTTTAGTCCAACATTGAGAGATTTAAAAAGAGGAGTTAGAACAGAAAGCAAGAAGAGGCCAAAAGATGCTCAGATGCTATGGCCTTTGGGCTGCTATCACTTTCCATATTGGAGTCCATAGTCGTTTTTATAGTAGCCTTGATGCCGGACCATTTCAGCCACTCTGGTTGCCTGCACAATAAAGACAATTGCTATGACAAAAACTAACAAAATAGAGAGCACAGTGGCAGCGATGTTTAGAGAACGGGCTGTGGAACCGTAGCTGGTGGCACCATTCTTATCTCCCAGAAGCTTCCGGTCCCGGGACTGCAAAACAAAGGAACAAAGTAAAAGAAAATGACAAGATAGATCAAGCCTCTTATTAGCTATAATACAACAGACATCAAGCTTATATCATGTTAGGATAATCTGGATATTAGAAGGCAGCAGATCACTTCCTTGAAAACACAGATGAAAAGATCTGTTGTGAAGTGACCTATAATGTACAGTACTGTGCAAAAGTTTTAGGCAGGCGTGAAAAAATGCTGTAAAGTTGAAATGCTTTCAGAAGTAAAAGTGTGAATAGTTTATTTTTATCAATTAACAAAATGGAAAGTAAATGAACAGAAAAGAAATCCAAATTAAATCAATATTTAGTTTGCCTTCAAAACAGCATAAATTCTTCTAGGTACACTTGCACACAGTTTTTGAAGGACTCGGCAGGTAGGTTGTTCCAAACATCTTGGAGAACTAAACACAGATCTTCTGGGGATGTAGGCAGCCTCAACTCCGTCTGTCTCTTCATGTAATCCCAGACAGATGCAATGATGTCAAGATCAGGGCTTTGTGGGGGCCAAACCATCACTTCCAGGACTCCTTGTTCTTCTGTACTCTGAAGATAGTTCTTAATGACATTGGCTGTATGTTTGGGGCAGTTGTCCTGCTGCAGAATAAATGTGGAGACAATCACACTCCTCCCTGATGGCATGATGGATAAGTATTTGCTTGTATTTCTCAGGATTGAGGACATCATTGATCCTGACCAAATCTCCAACTCCATTGGCAGAAATGCAGCTCCAGACTTGCAAGGAACCTCCACCAACCTTCACTGTTGCTGCAGACGCTCATTATTATGTCATTCTCCAACCCTTTGGGCGAACAAACTGCCTCCTGCTACAGCCAAATATTTCACATTTTGACAGTCAGTCTAGAACACCTGCTGCCATTTTTCTGTGGCCTTGTGGCCAAAAAGCCAGACCTCCGATGTGGAAACAAGGCTAAGCGACTTGCATGAAAACATATAAACTGGGGTGCAGAAAAATGGCAGCTGGTGCTCTGAACTGTTGAGTCAAAATTTGACATATTTGGCTGTAGCAGGAGGCAGTTTTGTTTGCTGAAGGCCTGGAGAGCGGTACAATGATGAGTGTCTGCAGCAACAGTGAAGCTTGTTGGAGGTTCCTTGCAAGTGTGGTGCTGCATTTCTGCAAATTGAGTTGGATATTTGGTTAACCACCCCAAACATACAGCCAATGTCATTAAGAACTATCTTTAGAGTAAAGAAGAACAAGGAGTCCTGGAAGTGATGGTTTGTCCCCAACGGATCCCTGATCTCAACATCATCAAGTCTGTCTGGGATTACATGAAGAGACAGAAGGATTTGAGGCAGCCCACATCTACATAAGATCTGTGGTTAGTTCTCCAAGATGTTTGGAACAACCCAGTAGTGTATTCTGGTTTGGGAGTGCCCTAGGCAAGACAAAAAAATTTAAAAAATAAATAAAATAAAAAAAGACAGCAGAATACCAGACCCTTTAGGTCTGGTAGTAATGTGAGGAGGAACCCCTATTTTTTTTTTAAATAAAAAAATATGTGGGGTTCCCCCTTAACCAGTTGACATCCGTGGTGTTAAACCCCCTTCCCATCCAGGCCATTTTTCAGTATTCAGCGCTGCGGTACTTTGACTGACATTTATTCCGTCATGCAACGCTGTACTGAAATGAATTTTATACCCTTTTTTGTGGACAGATAGAGCTTTCTTTTGGTGGTATTTTTTTTACCACTGGGGGTTTTAATTTTTTACTATATTAAGGAAAAATTACCGAAATGTAAAAAAAAAAACAGTTTCCCCTATATTAAATGATAAAACATTTATTATTACCCAATTTTTTGGTAAAATATAAAAGATATCACGTCGTGTAAAAAGACACCAAACATGTCAAGCCTTAAAATTGCGTGCGCGCGCGAAACCTCAAAAAACGATAATACCCAAAATTGGCCCTAGGCGACGCTTTAAAAGCTTTTACCACTCATCAGTTTAGTGTTATCAGTGATTGATGGCCCTAAAATGATTGCTCTCACTGCGACGTTCGCGGCGATATGTAACATGTGTAGCGCAATTGTAATTTTTGCGCGCTGGGGCACCGGACGCGTATTTACGTTTATAGGCGCGTAAACGTGGGGGTGGGGGAGTTAAACATTTTGGGGGGGTTTTTTCCCCTTTTTTTATATGTGGCTTTTATTTTATTTTATTTTTTTATGTGTTACTTTTCTTTTTTTTTATTTATATTTTTTTTTTTGCACTTATTGTTATTGCTATTATATAGGGGGATAACAACCCCCTATATAATAGCAAAGGCACACTGACAGGTCCTCTTTATGGAGACATTAGGGGTCACTAGGACCCCTAATGTCACCTGTGGACCCCAAAAGAAGCTGATGAAGCAGAGATCTGCTTCATCAGCTTCTTTCTCTGGCTATAGCAGCCAGATGACTGACAGGTGAATGCGGAAGTGATGTAACATACATCACTTCTGCATTCACAGCCCGGAGGGAGGTCAGCAAGGAGCTGATCTCCCTTCCTCTTCCTCCTGACGCCCTCTGAGCCGGTCCCGGGCCACAGATGGGGCAGCGGATCCCGGGATTGAAGGTGGGGGAAACCGGCGGCTGCGGGGGGGCTCCGAAAAAACGAGCACATATAGACGATCGGCTTGTTATTCCCTTTAACATATTTTAAACCATATACAGCTTTTTTACACTTCTTTCCAAATAGAGTTACTAACTCCGTGCTTAATTTTTCATATTCATGTGCAGATAATTAGTCCAATCTGAGATCTCAAAGGGTGTCACTTTAAACAGTTCTTTTAATTGTGTTGGTGTATGCAGGGTAAATGATATCCCATCCTTTCGAATATGAACGCAAAAGGGGTAACCCCATCTATATGATGCAGAGGCTTCATCGAGCGACGCATCTGCAAAGTGCATTTTGTTAAATCCGGGAAAATTTGCACTGCTGCTCCCTCAAAATCTACTGAACCCTTTTCTCAGGCTGCTCTTAGTATGTCCTCTTTAACTGAGAAGAAGTGTATTCTGCAAACCGTATCTCTGGGCTTTGCTGGTTCCATATGTCCATTTCCCTGGATTCTATGTACTCTATCCAGTTCAATCTCCATATTAGCATCCCGATTAAGAATGGTATTAAGAATTCTTACAACAACCACCTTTAAGTCTGCTCCCGTTATAGTTTCAGGAATGCCCCTCAGTTTCAAATTATTTCTCCGGCTCCTGTTTTCCAGATCATCTAAATGTAATTGCACATTCAAAAATTCATTTCCCATGCTTTGCTTACTTTCCAAATGCATCATATTATCTGACAGGACTGCTACCGTTTCCTCCGGCCCACTTGAAGCTGTACAATAGAGGCTTTAACCGTAGCCATTTCTTGCTTTAACACTCTTTTAATCTGCTCAGTCTGCACCTCTATATCCCTTTTAGTAGGTAATAAAGCCAGTATTTCTGAGAACTCCATGTCTGCCCTGGGAGCTCTTTGAGAAAAAACAGGAGACTTAGTCAATAAAGTCATGCTGTCCTCTAGATGCTGCACTGGACTGTGCATTCTGCTGGACGCATCCGTAGATTCCGCTCCACTGTCTCCTCTCTCCCCTCGTGGAGGCTGCTTTCTCTGCCTCTCTGCGCAATCAGCCGTTGCATATTGTGACATCAGCTCCTTCTCCGAACAGAGCGGGGAGGCACCGGAGCCGCCAGAGCCTATGTAATCGCCTGACCCTGCGATCTGCGATATTTCCCCGTTGCCTTCTTTCCTCTAGACATGGGTTCGTTGCTTCTCCCCTCCTACTAGGGGATAGGGGACGTCCAGCTGCTGCTCAGTCTGGAGCACTTCCGTCGGTGTCCTCACACCACCATGACCGGAAGTCCTCTCCCACCCAGTTTTGAAAGACATGTGGTCTTGTATGCTTCATGAGGGGGCATGCTCCCTCTAATCCTACTGAACCTCACCATACCACATGTCTTTAAACATTGGAGGAAACCCCTTACACATTCCCACAAAGTCCTTTTTTATAAGAGAATCAAATATTGTCCTTGCTGCCCAACAATGTTGTGATGTGATTTTTTAATTTTTTAAATATAATTTTTTTAAATTACTATAGTACTGTTCTGTAATGTCACACACAGCTTTAACTCACCCCCAAGCATGTTATTAAAATGCGTGTGTTATGATTGTTGGCCTTTAAGGCGCATGAAAAGACCCTCTTCCTGCTGAAGGGTATTTTCTAATTGTTGTGTTTTTTGGGGTTTTTTTGCCCAGCTACCCATGCTCTATTTTAACAATATCTTCCAACATTTGCTTCCCGTAGACTTTAAGAGGGTTTGGCGCTATGTCTATTGTTCGTGGACTTTCGGCTATGTTGCTGAACCTAAAGTGAACCAAACTTTGCTTGGTGCGCTCATCCCTATGTGTAACTAACATCCACAGAGTTTGAGTTCAGTGGAAAATATCTTAAATCAAAAAGTATTTGTTAATTAAAAACAATTATTTATTATGATATTATGAATTATCACCACTTTAATCAGAATGATGATTTGCTGAACCTCAAAGCAGCTCCACTACAAACCAAATTTGTTTTTGTATGATGTGGGCAAATCAACAACTTATACATTCTTGGCATAAAGCTGGAAGACTCCTTCTTACCTTGACAGAAAATACAAGGGCGAAAACACCAAGGCAGCAGAAGTTCAAATACATGGCATTGAAGAGCGACCAGATGATGTGATCTCGGACACGGGGACCCTCTGGCGTAATTGTCACCACAGTGGTTTGGACCTGTTGGCTCGGGATATTCCGAAACTCTGTCTCCTTTCTCAGCTGCTCGTAGCCACGCTCATTGTATGTTGGTGGAGAGCCGAGTTCACGGGCATAATCGCTGGCTTCCATGACTCCTGGGTAGCAGAGGAAGGATTAGAGGAATTTCTGCAGAGCTCTGCTGAGAACCGTGTTTGTGGAACACTGGAAGAGAACAGAAGCATGTTAGCTGGTGGGAGGGACAGGTATCTGATGGGGAAGTTTCATTTCTCTACTACATGTTCCCCGCACATGAAAAAAACGAAACTAGAGTTGCAAAATGAATAGTATGGAAGTATGGAGAAATTAATAAAGGGAAACATTAAAACATGTCTAACTGGATGAAGACATAAGTACTAGATTTGTGGAATTATTTCTTAAGGTGGCCATTCACCTTACAGTTATCGGTCAATTTTTTTTTGTCCCGTCATCGCACCCTCGTCCAATTTCCGCACAAATACCCCATCATGCACAGACCAATGTAGATTTCGATATTCCTTCGTCAGCAATACTAACTGGCCGACAGAACGGATTTTTGTTTGCGCATGTGCAGTGTTAATGTTGTGATTTTTGTTGTACGAAAACGCCACTAGCCCATTGATTTCAGTCCGTTTCGACAAAAGTTTTCCAATCTGCCCGTTCAACCAAATTTGGCCAGTTGTACAGTAATTGCGATCGTGCACTTCCCATCAACTGGCCGATTCCGAAAACGCTATTGCATTAGTTTTTCGTACGATAATCGCAAGGTGTATGGGAACCTTTAATGTAAAGATATCAGCTGTGTACAGTGATCTGCCCTAGCCTGGATCTAGGATGGCATTGCCGTAGGTACAGCCTAAGGTCACAAACCCATAATGTTGTAATCATATACAATAAGCAGCAGTCAGCACATATATTCCTAAATAGTAATATAATTTGATGACCTTGGCTTGGCTATTTTATATCCAAATGATCTTGAAGTATTCACAAATCAGACAGGGTTGTACATGCGCACTTCATATACAGCCCGAGCTCCAGCAGTTTAGCTTAAAGTGGTTCCAAAGCCAAAACCTTTTTTTTAGAACTATCAGTGTTCCTGAAGGGCAGAAGCAAATAGATATCACTGGCACATCATTATCCTTGGTCAAAGATCAAGGACAGGACATTTAATTGCCACTCACAGGAAGCAACATTTCAAAGGCTCTTGTGATGAGACCAGGGAAAATTCTATGCACTGCAATATAAATTGTTCCTAATTTCTAGTGGCGACCCAGCAAGGTTTGCGGCCAACAATTTGTGATTCGGATAGCTATAGTGGCAGTGAGCCCAAACCTCAGCCCTACTGATAATTCTATTTTAACATAGTGGGCGGAATTTGAAAAGGAAAAATGGCCCGTCACTGTACTAATTAATCAGTTTTGTGCAATTAGACAATACTGAAATATGAGAAAACGCTTGGTGAGTGTGTATATGAGTTTTTCCCGCAGGAAGCAACTTCAAAGTGTATTTCCACTTTTGCATTCAAATTTGAGAAAACTCTTCTATATGTTTATGTGTTCTTATTCACACAGCACTTTTTTTGTATATTTCTTATCTTTAGGATGTCTCTGTGTAGCAGGCATTTGCAAGCTTCTCTCTCAATTTCCAAGTGACAGAAAAGTCTGTCTGTCTCCATAGAAAGACTAGGGACAGACTGAGCTTCCCATCACTAAACCCAGGAGTTAAATCTTGAAAATGCATTCAAGTACCTTAAAGTGACATTAAAGTCAACCGCGCCCCCCCATCCTTTCCAATCCTGGTGTAGGGATTTACCTTAAATGATGCCTCTTAATCCGATCTTCTTTCCTGTAGTTTTCAGCTGTCCCTCCAGAGCTGGTCCCTGATCCAGCGCTGACTCCTCTGTCCTGTAGTCCTCTTCTCTGACGTCTCACGGTGCCTGTGGGGGTGCATGCTGCACCATAGACTTGCCTTGTGTCTCTCCTCGTCTCCCGGCCAAACATCTGAACTGTGCATGTGCCCGCCCCAAAATGCTTTGCGGCCCCCGAGAAATTTTCAGATGTCCGGACGGGAGCATGCAGCGGAGCCACAGGTAAGTTTAACCCTTTGAAAGGGTTGTTTTTTGTATCGTTTTGCATATAACTTGCTAGCAGTAGATTTATGCAAAAACATGCAAGGGTTTAATAACCCTTCAACTATTTATTTGTGTATCACTCTGAATTGATGCTGACACTCCTCCGCAGCATGATCTGTCCTTCCTTCTGGAAGGTGGCTGCTTTTGTTCCCCATGGTTCCTATGTGTAAAGTAGCCACTGCTCCAAGCTCACTCCCCTGATGGACTACAATCTCACTTTTAGATTACTAATTTGTATTGAGATTGTAGTAGGGTTGCCCCCTTTTCTTCATGTAATATCTGAACACTCACTGCGCTGCGCTACAGAGGGGGTGGTGTCACGAAACGGCCACGCGTTTACCTGCCGGGGCATACATGCATGTGATGGAAACACCGACAAAAAGAGGGGACATTCACCTGGCGGGATAAGGTATGCTGCCGGGTCCCCTCCTCTCTCGTGCAGCTGTCAGGTTTTCGGTCAATGTCCGACTGCTTTTCAGAGGGGGTGGCAACAAAATGACTGTCAATGACCCCCTCTGATGGCATCACCCGGTGTGGGGTGCACCCCCCCCCGCTCCCCCCTTGTGATGCCACTGTAGATATTTAACCCTTTGTTAGGACACACAGTGTTCAAATATTTTACTTTTTGTTAGGAAAAACAGTTCAAGTCCAGTTTACAACTGATAATGAGATCTGCCAGCACAGGCATAGTTATGTTAATATTAACCTACCTATCTTCTTGCATTCCAGAGGGAAAATAAGTGTAGGGGAAAAAACCTTTCTTTCAGAATATAACATGTAATATGCAAGCAGCAATTTTTTTTTTTTTTTTAAGTGCTTCATTGTGAAAGAAAACATGTAACAAATATGAAAACGGTGTTATCCCAGCTTGGCTGCAAAAGTTGAAATACACTTTAAGTTATCTTTTGTCTTTCTGAAGCATAGACCCATCATATATCTAAATGACATGAGGAAGAGAATGAAAAGGAAATGTGTGTGCGCTCAAAGTTCTGTGCAGATCCGAGTATTCTTCCCGCTTTTTCCATTAGAACAGTACAGAGTCTTATTACTGAAAGACTTTCTTATCTAGTTCACTTGCAGTTTACATTTTCCAACAGTACTATGTCACCAACTCTCTGTCCCAGCATTGTTTTTAGTGCTGGAAAGAATGAGTTGAAAGCCAAGTCAAGCATTTTTTTGGGGGGTCATTACAGGGAGCGGTTGTGGTAGTTATCTAGGGCTATGCAAATAATTAAAAAGTTGAATTGGGAAAAAATTACAGGAAATGGTTTTGACTTTTTTCTTGTTTTTCCCAAATTATAACAAAGAGTTAAAATGTATTGTGATATTGGGGAGCTCACAGAGCACTCGCACAGGCTTTTCCATTAACAAAACGTCTTTATTTTCTGTTCAAAAGGCAGACAGTAAAGGAAGTCCAACATAAATAGCTTGCTGCAGCATATAACAGATATGGGCTCACCAATGCTCACCCTTCACAGGTTATCCTGTTCAGTGTCCCAGTCCCAGGACCTTACTGTTTTCCTCAACAGGATCTCTTCAGGAATACACTGGGCACTTTGAGCAGCTTTCAGCAGCCTTTGATTTCACACCCATACACCTTGGGTGCCTGGCTCTCTCAGCCTCTCTAGGCCTTCCAGCCTCCAACACATACACAGCCTCCTGGCTTCTGGGTGGAGTCCGCCTGACTCCGGGACACAACCTGTCCCTCTTCCCAGCAGGAGCCCTGAACACACTCCAGCACCCTCCTCATGAGGGATGCACACAGGTGCACAATCAGGTGCTGGCTGCCACTAAAGCCTGGACCCAGGAATGGAGATTTCATCCCTCCCAATGCTCTTTGAAATCTCCCAGTTCCAGGAACCCAAGCCAAATCAGGAAAACCTGGGAAGAACTGCAAAGGCAGCTCTTTCCCAGTAAACGTTTGCACTTTCTGGAACTGCTCAGCCCCCCTGGCTGAGAGACCTGGGTGACTATATTGCCAAAAGACACCCTGGCATTGCCACGCACTGCTACAGTATGTATTGAGTTGTTACTAAATGAAAGCTTTATCTGCCTGAAAACAAGATAAATTAGAACTGGATGAACTGAAGTGACCCTCTAAATAAAGAAAATAATTAACCCCTTTATGACTGAGGCCTTTTTTTCATTTTTTGTACCCATGTTATATTCCACATTTTAGGCCGGAAAATTACTTAAAACCCCCCAACATTATATATTTTCTGAATGCCAAGACCCTATAGAATAAAATGGTGGTAGTTGCAAATTTTTATGTTGCGCAATATTAGCGCAACTCCTTATTAAACCCCAATATTTAGTGAAAAATGTAATTAAATGCTGGCTCCAGGAGCCCAGAACTGACAGCCCAGGGACCGGAAGTGATGCAATCTGCATCGCTCCCGGTCCCATAGAACGGGGAGGGGATCGATGAACGGAAGTTCGTCGACCTCCTCCCCAGCTCCCCGCGGACACCAAGATCGCCGGGCCCGTAGGAGGGGCAACGGAGCCCGGGAAGCACGGTGGGGGTGTCCGGCGGGGGGGTCGGCCCCTTCTTCGGGACGCAGAAGCGATCTGGCGACAGGTAAGTCGCCAGGATCGCTTCTGTTGTAAAGCCGACAGTCGGCTCTACAAGTTTAAACAGAGTCCCGGTGGCAAAAGTCACCGGGAGTCTGTTTAAACAGCCCCGATGCTGGCGACGTACACTGTACGTCGTCAGTCACGAAGGGGTTAAAATTCTATTTTCAAAGTACACATATCCTCTTACATTGTGGCCAATATAGTCATAACACATACATATGTAAATAAGCACACAGAAGTCTAACATTTCCTGCAGGTGGGAATACCCGTTTAAAACCAGTAATATATCATATTCCAGCTGGTTAGTTTCTTACCTTATATGTGCCTCTGTGCAGCAAAGGAAATGAAACCAATTAGTTTTTTTCCCCTGAAAACATATCTCCTGTAAGGGCAGGAAGGCATGCAGACCGCCAGATACACCCAGCAAAGACCACAGATTTCGAAACAAACTTCTAGCTTTTAAACTTTAATCGTTTAAGGACAATAAAAAAATGTTGATGTAACATTTCAGTATAAA